TCCAGTTCCATCCATGTCATTGCAAATGGCAAGATTTCATTCCTTTTGATGGCTGCATAATATTCCATTGTGTATATATATATATATATATATATATAAATACACCACATCTTCTTTATCCATTCATCTGTCGAGGGACATCTTGGCTCATTCCAGAGTTTGGCTATTGTGGATATTGCTGCTATAAACATTGGGGTGCATGTACCCCTTTGGATTCCTACATTTGTATCTTTGGGGTAAATACCCAGTAGTGCAATTGATGGGTTGTAGGGTAGTTCTATTTTCAATTTTTTCAGGAACCTCCATACTATTTTCCAGAGTGTAAAAGCCAATACTTTTATAAAAAATAAATTACAAGTGTTGTCAAGGATGCAGATCAGATACACTGGAATCATTGTACTTTGTGAGAATGTGAAATGGTGCAGCCACTGTGAAAAACAGTACAGAGATTCCTCAAAAATTTAAACACAGAATTACCATATGGTGCAGAAATTCCACTTCTGGGGCGCCTGGGTGGCTCAGTTGGTTGGGCGACTGCCTTCGGTTCAGGTCATGATCCTGGAGTCCCGGGATCGAGTCCCGCATCGGGCTCCCTGCTCAGCAGGGAGTCTGCTTCTCCCTCTGACCCTCTTCCCTCTCGTGCTCTCTGTTTCTCATTCTCTCTCTCTCAAATAAATAAATAAAATCTTTAAAAAAAAAAAAAAGAAATTCCACTTCTGGAAAAATATATAACCAAAAGAAGAGAAAGCAGGGACTCAGTCATGTTCATAGCAGCCTTATTCACAACAGCCCTAAAAGAGAAACAATCCTAATGCCCATTTATGGGTGAACAGATAAAATGTGGTCCATCCACACAAAGGAATAATATTCAGCATTAAAATGGAAGGAAGTCCTGACACCTGCTAACACACAGATGAACCTTGGGACATTATGTAAGTGAAAGAAGCCAGTCACAAAAGGACAAATACTGTACGATTCTACTTATATGAGAGACCTAGATTAGTCAAACTTATAATAAAGACAGAAAGTGGTATAGTGTGTGCCAGGGCTTGAGGGAGGGAGGATGGGGAGTTAGTGTTCATTGGTACCGAGTCTCAGTTTGGGAAGGTGAAAAACATTCCGGAGATGGATGGTTGCCATGGTTGCACAATATGAATATCTTTAATGCTCCTGAACTGTACACTTCAAAATGGTTAAAATGGTCAATTTTATGTGATATATATTTTATTACAATAAAAAAGTATCACAAAAAAGCAGATATTTTATAAAGAGCAAAGGTGTGTTCAATTTATTGAAGGAATGACACCCTGTGCTTGGCCACACCATCACTTCCATTTCTTTCTTTCTTTCTTTTTTAAATTTAAATTCAATTAGCCGACATACAGGACATCATTAGTTTCAGAGATAGAGTTCACGATTCATCAGTTGCGTATAACACCCAATGCTTATCACATCACGTGCCCTCTTTAACGCCCATCACCCAGTTACCCCATCCCCTCTCCCCAGCAACCTATTTGTTCCCTAGAGTTAAGAGTCTCTCATGGTTTGTCTCCCTCTCTGATCTCTTCCTATTCAGTTTTCCCTCACTTCCCCTATGATCCTCTGTGCTGTTTCCTATATTCCATATGAATTGTCACTTCCATTTCTAAGTCACCAGTCAGCCATTTGCTTTCCCACATGCACACTCAGTCATGTCACTGTGGCGTGTGAAGAGATGAGATGGTGGAGATGACATTACCCAGTGTTGGGAGCTATATTTCACATTCCAAGTGATAGTCAAATAAACTCAGTTAAAAAAAGCCAACAATGTAGAGGCTAGTGACCATGCCAAAAATGTGATGATGTGCGTTTATGTCCAAATAAGAGGGGCCTGGTCTTCCCTCCTTTGTGGGACTAGCCAGTGACATTTAACCTCTTCACAGAGAAGATGAAATGATTAAACTAAAGTGACTCCTATGTTGTCTCAAGACTCTCCTTAACCAGGGCAAAAAGTAAACCACAGTAGTTTTCCCTGACAAAAAGACTTTCTCAGAAGTACAAATAGTAGCCACCAGACTATAAGGAAAACAAGTAAATCAAGACATTCTTAGGGTGCCTGGCAGGCTTAGTCAGTAGAGCACATGACTCTTGATCTCAGGGTTGTGAGTTCAAGCCCCACATTGAGCCTAGAGCTGGCTTTAAAAAAGCACAAATACATTCTTATATTTTCATGATTACCAGGGCTGCTCTGTCAATTTATAGTAGCAGGTACATGACAAGAGATGCGGTAAAGCACCAGAGCAGTCGAACACCTGTTGAAGAGCTGAGAAGTCTTCTAGAATAGAAATTTCTTTTTTGAGGTCCTAGACCAAATAGTCACTATAAGTAATGAAAATTATAAGAAGAAAAATTGTAAGAAGGTCCACAGTGGATTGAAAGAAAGATGTGTCATGATAGGAGCCAAGGTCAGGGTCATTGGGATGTACCTTCCCTAAGTTTTCTTGGACAAGGATTATGGATAGATATTGACATAGGCCTCTTTGTTTTGTTTCAGTTGGAAAGGTCAATACCATTATGCCCCCTCTGTAATCTACCTTAACTATGGTCGTCACCTGACTATGCTTAAGGTTGTAAATTTATGCAATTTTAAATTTACTATGATCAAAATTCTAGAAACTCACACTAAAGTGAACCAGGAACAGAACTATGCAGAGAGGAGAGAAAAGGGGAAGGGTGATAGCAAAAAGGGAGAAGTGGGAGAAACTTGTATTTTTAATTTAATTTTTCTTTTTCATACTTCAGTTGAGGTATAATTTACAAAGAATTTTGTTTTTTTTTTTAAGATTTTATTTATTTATTTGACAGAGAGAGATACGAGAGAGGGAACACAAGCAGGGGGAGTGGGAGAGGGAGAAGCAGGCTTCCCGCTGAGCAGGGAACCCAATGCAGGGCTCGAACTCAGGACCCTGGGATCATCACCTGAGCTAAAGGCAGACACTTAACAACTGAGCCACCCAGGTGCCCCCCCCCCTTTTTTTTTTACCAATACTCACCTTAACATGTGCAGTTCAAGGAATTTTTACAGAGGTTCCCCTGTAACATCCACTCAGATAAAAAGAATAATCTGGACTCTTGCTAGTCAATATCCACTAGGCCTGCCCAACACCCATGGGTAACCACTATTCTGGTGTCCCCCACCATAAGTTATGTTTGCTTATTTTGAACTTCACAAAAATGTAAATCCACAGAATATAATCTATCTTTGGTCTGTTTTCTTTTGCTTGGCATAATGTTTTTGAGATTCGCCTGTGTTGTTGAATAAACCATCACTTCACTCATTTTTATTGTGGTATAGCATTCCATTGTATGGGCATGCTGAGTTTGTGTATCTTTACTTCCATGGCTGAACATTTGGGTTGTCTCCAGTTTGAGGCTATTGTGGAGAGGGATTTATTGATATTTTAAAAAGAAGGCATATGTTTTCTCATGAATTTGATGTGTATACTCAAACAGCAGTAGGACATCTGTGCTCTGTGGAATTAGGTTTCTAACATAAGTGTGGCCAGTCAGGAATCCAGATGGACTTCTGACATTTCAGAGAACCCACACACACTATTTGCTGGTCCCCTGATTTTCTCTGTTGGAGGAGTCTCTCTCTTAGAAGTGGAGACAAGAGAACTCTAGGAAAGACAGATGGATGGAATCTTCTAGGCTCCAGAAGTCATGTGCCATTCTTAAAGAGAAAGAGCACATGTCCTAAGGAGAATATGCAGAGGACATTGTGGTGGTGTGTGAAGTCTCCAATAAGACCCGTCAGTCATGTGGACAATAAGCTTTTGGAGCAGAAAAACAGCTCTCCAGCAGATAATTCTATTAGTTGCTTTCACCACTATTTTGGAGGACTGTGTCTAAAGACCTCAGATTTCACCCCAGCTCCTCTTTCTGAACAGGGACAATCCACTTAGAATCTTATATATGCATATATTTTTTAAAGATTTTATTTATTTATTTGACAGAGACAGACACAGCGAG